CATCCTTATCATTTTAAACATGTGCATCAAACTAGGCATTTCTGCTCCCGCTGGCTCTTCTTATTCACATGACTCCCCTGCTCCTTCAACTGATGGATCATGTATAGATTTACTTACAGATTATCAAGGCAGCAGTGAACGTTTTATACAGAATAATTAAAACAAACATTTATGCAATACCCTCTCAAATAGTCATGTATAATCAAAGTAGGTATAGTATAGGTATAGTATTCTTCTTTCTTTCTAGTTCTTTAACTATTAAAGAACATGAATAATAATTATGTAATTTTCTCTTACCTCAAAGTTATTGCCAGACGTTCTTATCTTTCAAATTGCCTCTTTTACAAATATGATGGTTCCCACTAATTTCAACGTGATTGATTAAAAATAAAATATCAAGTTACTGAATGCGTGTTTATAGTATAAACACACCCAGTATGTCGTTATTTTGACCCAAATTAATGTTGTTAGCAAAATATTGCAAACAAGTAGTATTTGCATTAGTTCATGCGTAGAGTATTTGGAAATTTAAATAAATATTTAGAAACAAAAAGGTCAGACAGAAAAATTGACAAAGTACTGGTAACTGCAAAAAGAAATAGCTGCAGATTTAGAGACTGAGCCAAGCTTTCCAGAAGCTTCCACCATTAGAAAGAAGTCAAAAAAAAGAATTTTTGCTTATGAACATGGTGATAACCAATTTCAGGTCCCGAAATAAATTTTAAAGTGAATTTTTATTTCTTAATTTTAGATACCGCGATCATGAAGGTAAATGAAAGGTTCTATTTAATAAAAGAACATAATGACACTTACCTTTCTTTATAACATACAGGATTTCAATTAAATACCCGAATAAAATATTGCACAGATTTACAAGTAAAACTAACTGACGGAAATGAAAAGGACATTAATGCACTTGATTAAGTAGATGAATTAGATGTAATTGTACCATTTTTAACAAGTAATATAACCACCCCACTTCAAACACTGGAGGATATATATAAAAATGAATTAATCGACAATTTTCCTAATAATGCCATTGCGTTAAGAATTTTGTTAACCTTGCTGGTAACGGTGGCTTTTCCAAATTAAAATTGATAAAAAATTATCTAAGATCATTAATGAGCCAAGAACGGTTGAACCATTTGGCAATTATTTCAATCGAATGCAAAGTTTGCGATGATCTGAGTATTTTTACTATTAGGTATAACAGATTTTGCAAATATAAAATCTCGCAAAAAGCCTTTGTTGTACTCTTACGTTTTTTTTTTGCAAATACGAGTATTGTACGTACCTAGATATTTTGTTATGTAGTTTTGTTTATTGTCGGTTGGTTAAGTGATTAAATTTGTTAATTTTCATGTTTAAATTTCACGTATTTTTTGTATCGAATGTTGTTTACAAAATAAAGAATTATTGATTATTGTTAATTAAGTGTTTCATTTTGTTTTATATTGCAAGCACTTCAAGTATTGTCAAAAGGGCGGCAAAGTGTAAACTTCGGTGGTATCCAGCGCGGTCCTGGACATAATTGCAGTTGCTTTATTACAAATGCTTTTTAAATTCTAAGAATAATGTAATCTCCATTTATTTTTTAGTTATGCGTGTAAGAAATATTTTTTAATATCTTTTTACATTTGTTAATATGTAACGGTCATGACCGATATCGATGAAATATCAGTCATGGAAACAGTACCGCTATAATGGATAAAGCAATCAAGTACTTATCACAAAAAATGTATTATAATTTAGATATATTGAGGCTACACAATTTATGAGTTTACGGTTGAGACTGATGCCAAAGATAACCAAGTATTGAAAATTCTTAGAAATGACTACAAAAGAAGGGTGGATGGCTCTGATTTCAAAACATCGAGTCGTGTAGAGTGTCAAAATTCAAAACGTTATAAGCTGTAGATTCACGAAGAGAAGTTCCTGGTGGCAAAGTTTGCAGGCGGCAAACAAGTAAATCGGACAAAAAGAGGTTCTTATACATATCGAACTCAAGGAGCTGGTCTAAGCTATCAGTATGGACCTAGATGGTAATATCACTCCATTAAAAAGCTAACCGGAAAAAGTCCTTCACGTGTTTTAAACAAATATGTGCATCGTAAATTACAGCAATATGTACAAACAATAAAAAAGCTAGAAAAAAAAAAACAAAACTAGAGACGGCGAAGAAAACTACGGAGAAAACTGCCGACATTTTAGAACAGCCGCAACGGAATATAGTATAGCTTTCGAATCAAAAGCTAAAAAAGAATATACTGCCATAACAGAAACCGAAGTTCGACAATGCGTTTCTTTTATCGATTTAGAACTGGGTTTTATAGGAGCTTCTCCAGACGGTCTCGTCCATGAAAATGGTATAATAGAAATAAAATGTCCTTTTCTGCAAAAAATAAAACTATCTAAGAAGCCATAAGAGAGACATACCTCTTTTTTGTCTAGACAAAACCAAAAAAAACAACATGGGTCACCAATAAAAAAAATTGTGATTTTATTTATGGACAACAAGACATTACCATTAATCGCATTTTTCCGGATTATGGAAAAAATATTTACCCAAGATAAAATATTTTTACCAAAAGGCATTTGTACCAGAAATACTAAATCAAATGCTATGTAGGTGAATGAAAATAAGAGAACCAGAAGAAGTTTGTTTCATCAGACAAAGATGAATTTCCTCTTAAATCCATTTGCAGAATTTCCTCTTACATATTTGCAAATAAACATTTTTGAAATCTTATTATTTCTTAATAACCCCCAATTTCCAAAAGTTATTTTTAAGTTTTGTTTACCTCATTTTTCAATAATGATGCCCACAAACACTGTTTGTTAAAAAAAAAACTTTTTTGTTTTTAATATAACAAACAAAATAAGAGTTTTTCGTGTACTTAATAGAAATTGAATAGTTTTTGAATTGAATAGAAATCAACAGTTACAAACGCTTCGCAAGGGGCGAATATTTGTATTAAATCACGAGTTAACGAATTTGAAGTAGACATAGCTTTGCGTGGTGTTATCGAAAATCACAGAATCGTTGCCAATCACGTCGTTCGCTTCGTCTGGTTTAAATATTCCCCAGAATATTAAATTAGCAGATCCTAATTTTAATTTGTCGTCCACGATTGATCTTCTTGTGGGGGCGACCGAATTTTATAATCTGTTATGTGTGGGTCAAGTCAAATTAGGCAAGAGTGCGCCAGTATTGCAAAAAACAAAGTTTGAATGGATTGTGTCTGGATTAGTAAACTCGTGCATGACTAATAACGCGTGTATTACTTTAAGTTGACATTTATCAATCCCTTGTTACGATGGCACATATTTTGCCGGGAGTTCCCCGAATCGCTTGAGGAGAGGGGAGTCGTTCCAGCCAGCGTCACGGTACTACAGCAGGGTGCGGAAACCGAATTTACAGGAATCGTGCAAGGACAAATGAGATAGTACATAATCGTTCTACGAGAGGCGCCACCATCTAATAAGATTAAAAATTTTAAAAGCAGTGTCGGGTTGTGACCTGCAAAAAAAATTACAACAAAATGCATGTTTGCTTGTTTTTTTATATTTTTTTGTTATATAAAGACTTATGTATAAACATTTTTAATTATTTTTTAAATAAAATCTTACATAAACTTAGGTTTGTTTTTTAAATTTTTACTTATTTTATCGAAACTTGTTGTCTCCGCCGCTGGTGGAATGGTGCATACTGCGATGGCGCAAAACTTGAAATTACGAGTGAGTTCTGGGAAACTGGAAACTTTTTTATGCAAGCTAAGGGAATTGCATCGCATTTGTTTTGTGATTTGTTTTGTACGTTTTTTGGTGTTTAGTGTGTTATAATCTTAGTTGAAACTATTAAAAACATTCCTAACTGTTATTTGTGAATTGTAACATTTAGTTTTTTAAGGTAAGTCGGTTTTTTTATCTACATTTCAGTTTTTTACAAACAATTTTTGCTCAAGAAAAAAGTGGTGATGGCATTGTGGATTTCTTTGTTATCTGTTAATAAAAATTATTTTTGATTTGTAGATAACATGTCTACTGGGACACATTCGTGTAGCATTTACGGATGCCATGAAACTGGACTTAAAATGTACCAGTTTCCAAATCCTAATAGAAACAGGGAAAGGTTTTATGCCTGGCTAAATGCTGCAGCAAATCCTCAATTTGACGATTTATCACCTGAAATAATTCATCGTCGGGGATTTGTTTGCAAAGTGCATTTTGACGAAAAAGATTTCATTCCGCAATCAAGGGAAAAGTTGTTTAAAAGTGCCATCCCATCCAAAAATTTACCGCAACGTAAGTACCAACTTATCAATATTTATAGCAAAAACAGAAACTATAAACAATTTCGGCAGATGATGGTGTTATTTATGATATTATTAGCCTTCACAACAAGATGTTTTCATAAGGGTAGTTCGGTAATATATTTACGAGATCAGTCTGTGAAGAACTAAAGCCGGGTCGTTTAGCCTAATTAAAAAAAAAACACTTGAAAAGATAAAACGTTTATACATATACAGGGTGTTTCATATAACTTAACGAGGCTTGCGCCTAATGTACGCACCCAAATATACAAAAGTCACAGAACACTGGATACAAAAAATACACATTTAATTATTTAATTTTTGGAAACCCATGACAGTAGTTGTCAAACTAATCACTGTTTTATTAATAGTCATAAGCTGCAGTTTTTCAGAAACAATTATCATTTGTTCTATCAAGAGACGGCATGAATATGATTGTAGTTTATCTATCTTTATCACTAACTAACTAAAAACGTTGTAATTTTTGAAAGGGTGAACAAACTAGTGAAGATTATCCAATTTTTCAAAATTTATAATCGAGTTCGTATCGGAATATGTATTATTGATGCATCTTACAGGCGCAGGTCTCGTAAAATTAGGTGAAACTCCCTGTATATTTACACCTTCATGTTTTTTTAAACTTTATGTTGGAAGTTTTGAATTTAATTTTAAAATCCATGCATTTATTAAAATTTACTAACTGCAAACAGCTTTATAGATTTATAAAAATTTAATTTCGATTGTTGAAAGGTTTATCCGAATCTGCAAAAAATGGTGATCGGGTTGATTTGCCAGCGGCTTGTGTTTCACCGTCAGCAGTAACATTAAAGCAAACATTTACTACCCCACGGAAGGAATATATAACCACCAGAAACCAGAACCAGCCAGAAATTAGGAAGAGATTAACACCTTCTGGTATGAAAAAGTTTTGTATTATAAATTTATGACCCTGTATTTTATTAAAGGATCAAGCGTCTCGAATGTGGAACAACCAAAAATAACAAGAAGACAATTATTCTCTTCTTCATCGCAAATACGTAAGTATAGTATACCTAAATATTTTGTAAACATCATTACATCAAGAGTGTTGACAGCGCGGGTCGCAGATCCGGGCTGGATGAACTTTAAGATAACTCAAATAACTGCTTTCGAGTGGTGATTGATATATTTAGAAATTACACCAAAAATAATAACTTAAATAATTACTAAATTAGATTACTCCAACATTACTAAACCAGGTGCTGTAAAAATGTATTATTTAATTATTGTTAACTGCTATTAAATTAACATTTTGTTTTTGCTTTACAATATATACGTAATTTTATTTCTTTTTATATTCTTTACATTTTCTCTGTGTAGATACATCTCCCCGTCCTACTGCTTTTGTGGACAGTTCATTGGGTGTAAGACCATTCGAAGAAGAGTGTAAAGGTTAGTAAAATATTTTAATAATTATATAATTCTAATATGACTTAAATATTTCACTTTTAGCTTTGCCTTTTTATTCAAGTAACCTGCTTGAAGCAACACCAAGCACTAGTGGAGGTAAACGCAACGCTATAATAAATTATGAATGTTATTATAAATCTTGTTTTACACAATTTATGAAGGCTGTGTGCCTGTAAAATCAGCAATCAAATTTTAGTATTAAAAAAATTACAAAATTTTCTGAAGTGAAATAAGTGGCAATGAAATTGATGAATTTGACAATTATTCACTCAGGTTTCCAAAAACAAAATAATTAAATGTATTTTTTTGTGGGTATATATGTATAGTGCTTTGTGATCGAGTATTGTATTACATTAGGCGCAGGCCTCGTAAAATTATGTGAAATAAAGAGTATAATTACACTAGCCGACAAGATTTTAGAATAGATAGAAATTGTTAGTAAACTACATTAGGTGAAAAACTTTTATACACAAATAATAATATTCTGATTTGTGCGAATAAAAATTCATTTTTGTAAATGCTCAGTTCCTAAATGCTTAACTAGTACTCTAGTAGAAGGTACTTTCCGAATAAAAGTTCAATTTACATTTTTTCTGAATGTAAAAGTTATTAATTAATTTTTATTCACACTATTCATTGTCGAACGTCGTCTTTTTAGAGAGGCACAGAAGTTGCAGAAAAAGGTGGCACGACGAGAAGAAGAAAATAAGAAACAGTTTGCGGGCAGCAAAGAAGTTGGCGCATGATGAGGCATTTGTTACATTAACTCAAAATTTTACTCCTTTTCAAAAACGTTTTTTTGCCAATCAGTTGCGGAATGTGTCTCGCAAACCAAAATCTAGGAAATATACATTAGAGGACAAAACAGACGCAATAGCCTTGTGGAAAAGTGGTCCTAAAACGTATAATATTTTAAGCCGAATGTTTGCGCTACCCTCTGTTAGAACTCTAAGGAGCACTTTGAATGGTGTTCCCATAAAACCGGGGATTTCGAAACCTGTGTTCGAAGTTCTCAAGCAACAGGTAAGCCGAATGAGGAACTATAAGCACAAATTGTGTACCCTAATATTTGATGAAATTGCAATCCAACCTCATTTGGATTACCTGCCGCATGAGGACAGAATTATAGGTTTCGAAGACGACGGCTTTACCCAGAGTAGAAATGTGGCTGATCATGTGTGTGTTTTTATGTTGCGAGGCATTTTCAAAAGATGGAAGCAACCTGTGGCTTTTGCCTTTTGCAAATCATCATTAAATTCCAACAAAATAGCCACTTTCTACAAAGAAATCGTAAAGCGAGCCACTGATGCTGGTCTAAATGTTATTGCTTCTATATGCGATCAGGGCAGCAATAATAGAAAAGCTCTTAGCATATTGCTTTCCGAGACTAAATTCAATGCTACTTTAAAAGGTGAGGAAGTAAAAGATAATGTAATCATTATAAATAACCACGTAGTTGTTCCGTTGTTTGATCCTCCTCATCTTTTAAAGAGCTTGAGGAATAATTTATTAACAAAAAATTTGGTATTTTATAAAAACGGAAAAAGAATGGTTGCCAAGTGGTCACATATAGAGGCAGCATATCATTTAGATCAGGCACGAGATCATGGCTTGAGGCTCATGAAGAAACTTACTGATTTTCATGTTATACCAGAAAAGTTACAACGACGAAAAATGAAAGTTTCTTTATGTGCTCAAGTTTTTAGCGATCAGGTGGCTTCTTTTATGGATTTCGCTGCTGGGACAATGGGACGCAGCATTCTCAGTGACCCACTTCCTGTTGAGGCACATGAAACCGCCTTGCTCATTAAATTTATTGATGAAATTTTTGATAACGTAAATGGTGGTTTAGGATACACTGGTGGTAAGGTTCTACGGGGAATGGTAGGAGGAAAAACTCCTCATTTAAGAAAATGGATCGAGGGGAAACGTATATTTTCAAATATGGAAWTTTCAAAAAGCAAYCCTTCTGACAGATCAAGGCCACCTTGCTTGGAGGGTTGGTATCAAACTCTGGACGGATTCATCTTAATTAAAAACATTCTCTCGAGGCTTGGTTACAACTCTTTTCCTGCGCGAGCTTTTAACCAAGACCCTCTTGAGAATTTTTTTGGTCAAGTGAGGCAGTATGGAGTGAGATACAACAATCCTACCTGCAAGGCCTTTGTCCCATATTATAAATCACTTCTAATTASAACTTTTGCTTCTTACCATTCCCCGGGATCCAATTGTGAGCAAGATCCCGAAGACCTTTTATTTTCAATAAGAGATTTTGTAGAACAGCGACCAGTGTGTCCTGATCCACCAGTAAATGATCGATGGATACCCCCGGAAGTATCTGATGGTGAATTTGATTATMTGGAAGCTGATGCTCTAAGTTACGTAGGCGGATTCATAGTAAAGCATATCTCTCCTGAGAAATATGACTGTGCAACTTGTCTGCGTAATTTAGAGCATATTGGTGAACCAGATGAAATTCATCATCAGATAATTTCGTTAAGAGAATATGATGGCAATAGAAGGTTGAAGTACTTAAATATTAATATTATAAAAACACTTCTAAAAATTTATCATTATTGCAAAACTCTTGTACCTTCAGCTCTCTATTGTTATCATATGACAGAAAGGGTTATTAGCCATCTACGAACAATTGTGGACTTTCAGTTAGAGTCTTGTCCTCATGAAGAAGATATTAAAACATATATCTTCAAGTTGTTTCTAAAAGTTTATGTTTTTGGATATATGAAAACTTTGAGTAACATTGTTTTGGGGAAACAATCTTTAACTGAAAATCCTAATGATATTGAAAAGCAATTGTTCGATATTTATCGTAAATCTCGTAGACAATATTTGCGATGAAAATCAAACAATTTTATTATTAAATAATACCTAATTCTGAATGAATTTTCTAACAAGTAACTGATACTCCTCAATAATTATTTTATTTTTTACGCTGTATAAAGATACATCAACTTTCTTGTTGCTAGGTAATTTTATAGTTAATTTTAAAATCTATCATATATTTTATATGTTGTGCCACATCATCGCCACTTCTTTCATTTTTCACGATGTTTTTTGATATGAAAAAGTGAAGKATTTTGGCTCAAAATTTATCAGTAGAGTTCAGTTGTACATAAGACAAAGTTATTTCAGTGGAAAGAAAAGTAAGTTTTCTCTTGATTTTAGGTTTTTTTTTCTGCTTTTTAAGTACCATCACATTGGCAGTTTTATTTTTTTTTGACAAAAATGTAACTTCCACAATTAGTTAATTATTGTAACCGTTATCGGCAAAACAATAAAATTCTGCAAAGATTTGTTACTTTACATTACGAGTATTCTGTTTAATTTACTTTAAATCTATTTTTACACTTTATTTATGAATCGTGTATATGCTAATAATGTCTTTTAATAATTTGTATTTTCCARTGATAATAAATTGATTATAATAAAGAAAAAATGTCGGTTTTGTATTGACGCTTTTGATTTTAAAAGTTAGGAGTTATATATTTATATATATTGTATGTTTTGTTATTTATTTTTAAAAACTGACAATTGATTTGGAAAAACTTCAAAAATCTGCTGATGTGTTTTTCCACAATCAATTGTCTCAGTTTTTTCAAATAAATAACAAAATGTACACCTTTCAAAGCAAAAAGCATGCTTAAAGCCCAAATTTGAATGTCCCGCCAATGGTTTTAGTACTACATCGTTCCAAGAGGAGGGGCGAGGTAGTAGAACGGGTGTCGGTAAGGGCGGAATCCGTTCTATATTGAGTGTGTTCTATGTACTACAGTCTGGATTCAAGTCCGCTCGAGCTAATATTGTGTTTGAAGACTCTCATAATCGGAATAAACGTTTATTTTTTTTTTATTTCTATTTTTATTATTTTAACATCTAGGTGCTAGTTAGTAGTTATTACTGTTATTAGTGATATTGTGCATCATTAAAAGAACAATGTCGAGAAGATCAAGGAGTCGGTCCCGGCGCTCTTAAAGTGCCAGAAACACTGGTCATTCCAGGAGCCGGAGTGGTTCGCGAGATCATGGGTATCCTCGCGAAAGACATTCCACACTCTCAGATTCGGTGTCTCAGTTGGGAAACGCCATAATCCAAGGGATTAGTGGTCTCACGGGTGGTACCTCTTCGAGAAGCAACAGCGTGGGCTGGCATTTGTCCCAGAACTTTGTCTCGGAGTTCAATCCTATACACAACAACGCGGAGGAGTGGATTCATTCCGTGTTGAAGAATATGCCGTCCTTCATCGATGGGACGATAGGGCTATTTGTTATGTAGCCCTTAATAAGCTACGAGGGCCAGCACAGGTTTGGTATCAGGGGCTCCCCACGACATGATTCTATCAAATTTCAAAACAAAACGCGAACGACACGGGGCTTTAGTTACCATGATTAATTATATACCAGAGGAAGGTCAATCGCTTTACGAATATGTTTATAAAAAGTTGGCTCTTATTCATAAACACAAATTACCAATAACCAAAGAGGACAAAGTAAATTTAATAATAGGGGGCATACAAGACCAACAAATTAAATTCGTCGTGGAAACTGCTAATATTACACCCTGGACAAAAAAATGGCTTCATTTTGAGAAGTCGATGACGTTATGAATGATATGCGTACGCCCGACGAAGTACAATGTGAGAATCATTTTCAAAAAACAACCACTCGCGATATCAATGGTCGTTTTGTAGTTAGAATATCATCTAAGAGAGATTCCCGCGGTTGAAACTTTACCATGTTTTATATTGTTGTTTTGGGGCACAATTATTTAAAAAAATGGACTTTTTCTTTCAGGCTAATTTGCGACACATGCCGCGAACCGAGAACGCCGTACAGGCGAAACGACCCTCCAGAAACTTTGGAAGCCGCTCTAGAGGCCGTCTTTTCGACAGGCGGCAGAGCGTTTTGGTGTGCCAAGGAATACCATCTAAAGGAAATATAAAGGTCTTAATTCTGACCGATTAGGAGAACCTCCAATATTAGAATAAACTGAAGAAAAATACATAGTGGCAGCACTTTCAACTGCTAGAGGATTTGGTTATCCATTTACAGTTCATATGTTAAGAGAATTCGTTCAACAATAATTACGCAGTAAAGGTGTCCAAATTAAAGGTTTCCATAACAATTTACCTGGGACAGATTGGGCTAAAGCATATAATTACCTGAAAAAATACAAACACATCATATTGCTACATTCTGTATTTATGGGCTAAAGCGTTTTTAATACGAAACCAGGTACTGTCAAATAGAAAGTCGCAAAACATTAAAAGGGCCAGGGCGAATGTTAATGAAGAAATCATTGCCAATTATTTTAGAGAATTGGAGGAATCCATCGCCGGTGTTCCTGCAGAAAACATCGTTAATTACGATGACCCCGGAAACGAAAAGATTTTGGTAAAAAAGAGGGTCAAAACACGCTCACAGGATCATGGATACGTCAAAGTCTTCCACGTCCATTATGTTTGCTGCTACAGGAAGAGGCGTATTGCTTGCTCCTTACGTGGTTTTCAAGAGAAAAAAAATTGTATCCAAAATGGGTTGAAAATGGCCCACCTGGGACACGTTTTAACAGAACAGACAGTGGTTCGTTTGATTCAGATGTCTTCGAAGAATGGTTTACGTCAATTGCTTTACCCATACTTTCGACGACTAGAAGGAAAAAAGTGCTAATAGGGGACTATGTAGGAAGTCACCTTTCTTAAGCCTTATAGCCTTTACATACATCGATTTTTGTGTTAAGTGCCCTAGACCGTTTAATTGTAAAGGGGCATCAACTCATTGACAATGAAACAATAAACAATAGGGCTAAATTGTTTATGTCAATTTTATGTCGATTTATTGCTGGCAAAAGATTAAATCTGACGCAAAGGAGGTCATTTGCAACAGGTGCACACCTTACCGGGCTCCGTTACAACGACGAAGTTGCATTGCAAGCAACTTCTTGGAAAAGTATCCTGAATAAAAGTCCTGGACAAAATTTTAAAAAGTTTATTGAAAGAAAAAAAGAAACCATCAAGTTGACCGCAGAATAAAGTCTAGAATTCTCGAAAAATATAATTACTTCAAGTGCAACTTGTCCAGTGGTAGTGGCAGAAAAACAAGATTATGGCGAAAAAGCAGACGAAACTATACTCAATAGTGAAGAGCTGATATTGGAAAAACACAAATTATTGGCTAGTGAGACAACGAGTATTATAAGTCCGTAAAAAAATCGTCTCACTAATGAGAAATTTGTCGAAAAAGAAAAAACACTCCTTGTCATAATTTAGTCAATTTTTTTTTTATATGGTTATGATTTTTATAATGAAGCAACAGAGTATGGAAAAATAAAAAAAAAGTTGCTCTTTAAAAATTTAAAAACAGTCGACCAAATTGTTCAGTGGGCCCTTCAGGAATTTTTATTGATATAGAGAATGGCTACCCAGGAGCTTCACCAGATGCTATGCATAGTATAAATAATTTTGAAATATTTTTATTTTATTTTAAGGTTTAATTGGTAAAAATGGCATAATCGAAATAAAATGCTTGTAGAAAGTACACAAGGCTGGTCTGACACTGCGAAAAGCTGCAGAAACTCACAAAACTCATTGTGTATAGATTGATAACAAAAATAAACTTGTTTTAAAACGAACACACAAATATTATTATCAGGTAATTATGCCTACTGTAACAATGTGATTTTTATAAAGATTTTATAAGTGTAAGGTCAATTAAATATATCTCAAAAAGATATATGTTTTTTTATTTACATTAATGACCAAGATCTCCAGGTGGAAATTATTTTAAGAGATCAACAATTTTGGGCTGAAAAAATGCTACCCCACTTAAATTCATTTTATTGGGATTGCCTTTTCGATAGAAATAAATACTGCGAAGAATCCCGAATGGTTTAAAAGCTGTTGAAATAAAGTAATTAGTATAAAATAATAAAATATTGTCATTTATTGTTACCTTATTATCTAATACGTATCATCTCTTCTCTCCATTTATACTGAAGCCATATGCCTACTGTTTCTATCATTTTAAAAAGACATATCTTGTACATACACTCGTAGGAACAACATAATCTGCGCAGTAAATTTTCAAAATTAAAAAATCTGGTAAAATTATGTAAAATTAAGACATTGGTATACAGAGTGCGCCAGAACTCGCGCCCCAGAGAAAATTTTCAAGTAAGGTAAGATACCAGGAACATGAAAAAAATGTTTAAAAAATTCTATCTGTCAAAAAATTTTGACATATATTTTTTGACATGACATTTTTTTATATCTATTTAATGATACTGATGATCTTGTATATGTTTTTTTACAATTATATAATAAAGGGACAAAAATTTTGCCAATAAAAGCCACAAATAACATTGAACAGAGTTACAATTTAGAATACAGCTTCCTTGTTGTCTCTTTTAATAGCCTATAGCAAAAAAACTTGGAAAATTATTTTTCCAACAGAAATAAATAGAGTCAAAGTGCAAACTTTAAACCCTCATAACTTCGAAATTTTTATAAATATTTTTTTTTAAACATTTTTTCCATGTTCCTGGTATCTTACCTTATATGGCATTTTTCTCTGGGGCGCGAGTTCTGGCGCACCCTGTATACAGATAAAAAATATTTATAACAAAAAATTAAAATTTTGAAATATTAATGTCAAACCACCTTTGCATCTGCTGTCTTACTTTTAATCCTAAGCATTTACGGTATTTTATTACAATTGACTTTGATTTGACCAGATTTAATATACATATCCAAAGTCTCTAGACTTGACAGATATTTTGTCACTAGATCCTGGTCATTTTTAACACTACTAAAATCACCAACTGGACAAAAATAAATCCTCCATTTCTAGGACGCAAGCTGCTCATTTCATACTTTATTCACCATTCACAGAGTAACAAAATTTAATGAATGATATTTTCATTTTAGTTAGTTGTCAATACAAGGATTTATAATTTCATTACAAAAAAACATTTTTACATTGGCCCCCTCTGCAGACAAAACTATCGAACTACAACAGGCGACATTTTCCATATGTTACATTCAAATAATGGCGGCCTTTGTACTAATTTTTCTTCAATCAGTTTAATGTTATTATGTTATAATGTAACATTTAGTAAAGAAGTTGTTATATAACTACATGAAGAAGTTTGTATTACTTTTTAATTGAAATTTTATTAACCAACATTTAATCTAAAAGGAGAATAAATATTTCAAATAAATTTTTAATCATTAAAATCTACACTAACCTCTTTCTTATTATTTTTATAATCTGTATCCGTCAAAAATTTCAGTAAAAAATTAAAATTAAAAAGATTCTGAATGAATTACTCAAACGATGTTCTGACGTTTCAGTAACGCGCCCTTAACCATTTGATTTTGATTTCTTGAAGTCGACAAGTGATACTTCTCTCCTCTTTTTTCACTTTCATTCCTCTAGTAGACATTTTGAATAGTTTTGACGTTTTTTTCGTAGTAGATTTATCAAATTTAGAGTTTCTATTCACACAGATGATTGGAAATTTAAAAAAATATTTTGAAGAAACAATCCAAATGATGAATTAAAAACATATTATTTAAAAACAGTTTCTTACGGACCGGTTTCTGTTCCATATTTAGCAATAAAATGATTAAATAAATTAGCTAAAATTTCTGCTGCAGAATTTCCAAATGTTAGTAAAGCCATTTTAAACGATTTTTATATGGATGATTTGTTATCCGAAGAAGCTATTTCATTAAGAGATGAAATAATACATACCAGGTGAATAAAAAGTATGGAACCAAGCGTTTTTTTCGTAAACTAAGCACTTTACGAAAAAAATAAACTTAAACTAAATCACAATTTTCTCAATTAAATAAATTCTTTTTCCCTTAAACTAAATCACAATTTTCTCAATTAAATAAATTCTTTTTCCCTTAAACTAAATCACAATTTTCTCAATTAAATAAATTCTTTTTCCCTTAAACTAAATCACAATTTTCTCAATTAAATAAATTCTTTTTCCCTTAAACTAAATCACAATTTTCTCAATTAAATAAATTCTTTTTCCATTAAACTAAATCACCGTCCTCTGATAAAGTTGGTTCATTTTCCTCTTTTTTTCGAACTAAGATAGAGGGGTTTTGGGGTTGTGTCAGAATGCAGTGAGCCCCCTGGGGTCGTGTCAAGGAAGAGGACGAGAGCGTTTGGAGTGTTGGGGTCTCCAGACCTTGTCGTACGGTCATCCACAAATCCTATGACTCTATCCTCATGTGGCAAGTAGTCTAAGGCTGTACTTGTATCTCATCAAAAATGAGGACACAAATACGGTCACTCTCGTTGGGCCGGCCCTACCCACCGACTGAGAACTTCAATCATATGATTTGAAATTTGAAATTTTTTTTAGGGTTAATTTGGGATTGTAACAAGGATTTTTTTAAATATGAGATCAAACCGAAACATAACAACGACAATTTATGATCCAATAGGGATTTTAGGTCCTATTCTGGCATCAATAAAAATAATTTTACAAGAATTATGGAAATTAAGATTAGGTTGAGGTTCCGCTACCGGAGCACTTATAGAAAAAAATTCCAGAATTTTTGCAACAATTACCGCGGGTAAATAAATTTACAATTCCTAGAAAAACGATATCTTTCTTTCCATATGATTCAATAGAACTTCATGGATTTCAAAATGATGCGTTAAGTTTTTTCGCCAGTGTATTTTGAGACCTAAAAACCAGTGTTTTTTAAAAGTTTTTTTGACCCAAAATCCGGACTTTACTAATAACATAGATCCCCTGTTAGAATGCATAACAATTGCATCGGCTTGTAATTTGGTTAATCGACGTAATTTTGTAAAACCGAATACAATTGGCATTTTACCGAGGGAGGGTTACCGAAAAGCCGCCAATCAATCTACAATAGCTCTCCACTGGTTGCGTTGGAAAGAGCATGTAAATAG